TGTGCTGAGGCTTTTGTCCCACAGATAGATGACAGCTGTCTCCGTTAGGAAAATAATACTTGCATCCTTAAACAGAGTGGAAAAGCGTTCCGTGACTTGACCCGCTGGAGACTCGGTGCTTAGGATTATTTACAGAGCTGTCAAATCCAAGGCGAGAAAACACCCCCAGGTAAGAAATAAGGAGAGCGGTCCCCAGGGGTGTCAGGAGAGAAGCTGTGAGCATCCCAAGGCGCTGTCCAGGTGTGGGGTCCCGACGCTCTCCTCCAAACCCCTCTCCACCCACGCACATCTGCAATACCACCTGAGACAGAGCGGCAGGGGCTGCTGGCCTGGATTCCTCTGTCACCTGGGATGCAGACCTGGCACTGTCGAAGCTCAGCTCCAGGCGGACTCCAAACAGCCACTCTTGTGAGTGATACCAGCCAGGCCCAGAGAACCCCCCCCCCCAGATCTCAACCTCCAGCCTCAAACAGCAACTGTGTCCACACCTGGAGGGTCTGCAAGTGGGACCCCCCGATGCAGACAGGAGCACCACTATGGGGTACCACACCAAGAAGACACAAAAGTGTGTGAGGGAGAGAAGAGACAAACTAAGTCAGTTGTCCAAATGGCCCCCCAGGGGGACTGAATGCAGCAGACTCTTGCAGACTTGGGGGTCCTTTCTCCTTGGTGTCGACGGCCTCCTTGGGCTTCACTTCCTGATCCTGTCTGGACCGGACCAGCAGGCAGGATGGCTTTTGCAACAGTCACATATCATGGTCAACTTCAACACCACCGTCCTAAACAGCTCATGTCACTCTTCACACTGCATAGACGTAGGTCTGGCCCCACTACTGACCCTTGACCTTGACGTTGAACAGACCTAGAAAAACTAGGATGACAAATTTTTTTAAATAAAAATATGTAATCAGATCTCATTAGAATTTTTGTTTGTTTTTTATTGGTGCATAATAGTTATACCTAACATTAGGATTCATTATGACCTAATTATGAATGCACAGAGTAGAGTCAGCTCCAATTAGTCCCGAGTGCTTACCCTTAACCTCCCCCGCCCCCGTTCCCTTTCCTCTGTATTGATCTTTCTACTTATTTACATTTTTAATCAGTGTCTTGTGGATATACAAGATGGTGCAAAAAATCATATTTTAACCATCTCGTTAGAATTTCAAAAATCATATTTCAATCTAAATATTTTTTTAATTTTTAATACTTTGATAGTTAGTATTCACTCACAATTCATACATAACCTTTCAATTTTAAGAATTTTGAAAACCTTAAGAAGAAATAACATTTTTTTAAAAACACGTGAAAAATAATCTTAATTTTTACCTTTGTCATAATATACTTTCTTGGTGAACTATATCCAAAAAAAAATTTTTTGTATTTACTTAGAAGCATTCAGAATTTCAAAAAAACAACTACAACTTTTTTTTTTTTTGCAATGACAGAGTGGCATTCGGTTAATAAACAACAATTATTTCATATAAGCTGCTCAGAGACAACTGAAGTTGGAAAAGCTACTATCCCATATATAACTAATTTGGACAGTGCACCAACAGGAAACTTAACTAATACATAACTAATTTGGACAGTGCACCAACAGGAAACTTGTTTAAATCTCCATTCCAATTCACAACCCCATAGGACACAGGCAAGGCTATTGGGTATTGAAAATGCCCTCAGGGCTGGGCACGGTGGCGCATGCCTGTAATCCCAGGGAGGCTGAGGAAGGAGGATTGCAAGTTCAAGGCCAGCCTCAGCAACTGAGCGAGACCCTGTCCTAAAACTTAAAACAATCAGAAAAATAAAAGAGCTGGGGATGTGGCTCAGTGGTTAAGAAGGAGGAGGAGGGAGGGGGGAGGAAAGAGAGAAAGAAGGAAAATACCATCAGGAGAGGGCCATCGAAAGACTCGGGAGTGTGTGAGCTAGATGAAAAAAGGCTTTTGCATTTCAAAACAAACCTTACGCAGCCTTGCATTTCCATTTTTTTCCTTCAAAGGAGAGAGCTGTATGAGGGGATTAAAGTGCTTTATAGACAAGAAAAAAAAAAACCTGCACGAGAACCAATTCATCCATCACCATCTGCGTCTTCTCCCTCCTCCTCCTGTTTTGGACGACTCCCATCTTCACCCTGGGCTTCCCCTGCCTGGGAGGCAGCAATGTCCTCTCCGTGTTTCTCTGGGGCTGCAGCTCGCGCTCTCCCAGGGTCCTGGCAACACCACCCATGGAGGGCCCGGGGTGCTCCCTTCGCTTTGGGGGCGATGCTCAGTACAGAACAGGAAGCCCCCCTGGGTGCCTTGGGATCCTGGGCCTCCTTTTTTGTCGCCCCTTTAGGAGGAACACAGGTTTCCCAGGTGGTGTCCACCTTTACTGGTCTCCAATCTCCCTGTCCCGTTAGCGCACGGTCCTCCACGGGCTCTGAGCACTTGGAAAACTCTGAGAAGTTTGCAGAAGCATCCGGGGGCTTGTGGGGGCTCCTCTTGCGAGTTTGCATAAAGAATGCACAGATCCTCCAAAAAGTGCACAGATCTCGGGGTCGCCTTTGCCCGTGGTCACTTGTTTTTCCTCATGGACGCACAGCATCGCCGTCACCCACGGTCCACGCGGCTCTCGGGGGCCCGGTACCGTGTCTGTGATCTCAACCTACAGCCAGGGCCGCGAGGGGGGACAGAGCCAGACACTGCCTCGCCCTCCACTCTGTCTCCAAATATTTTGAATATATTTCAAATTGATTTGCACTGCATATTGTGATGACATCCCATGACCTCTAAATGCATTATCGCTGTTGATTCTCTTTTGTAACCACTAAATTACTGTCGGTGGAAGCAAATTCATGCAAGTCTTGATGAGAAAACAATTATTACGAGTGGCTTTTTTCAAGACCAAGTCAAGAAAAAGAAATTTTACAGAATATATAATTCATGAATTTTGTGTATCGTCTTCTGCCCGTCCAAACATTGCCAGTCAGTCCACCACAGAGTATCCGGGGGGTGTCCAATAATAACGTCCACCGGGTGATCTTTGGTATTGGGACCATTTTCAGTTACGTTAAACCTTGGCTTTATTTGTCCTTTTTAAAATTTTGCCATCACAAAGGTTTATGTGCCGAGGACGGAGCATACAACATATGCCGACTTGTGTGGAATACAAACGTGCAGCAGGTGAGCTGCCCCTTGTGCTGCTGAACCCAACCCCTGCAAATACTGGATGAGAATCCACGGGGCAGGACCTACAGCAGAGCCCCGGAGGCGAGTGGGAGTCCCATCCCATGTATTTCCTTAAGGTTCAGATGGTCTGAGGATGGAATGGCCCTGGTGACAATGTTGCAAAGGTATGATAGCAAACAGCAGGGCAGACACTTGTCTGCTGCTTTTATTTAGCATCTGTTTATGGCGCCTTAACTATGCACCAGCTGCAGGTTTTAGAATCTGAGGATAGACCCGGGAAAGGAAAAAAAGACTCCCGCCCTCGGGGGAAGCATTTGATTTGGGAAGACAAAAGTCAAGATAAACAGGTAAAATACATGTTCCGTCCGTCCGGTAGTGAGACATGTTCAGGAAGAAAAAAATAAAACGGGGACCGGGGAGAGGAAGAGTTAGTGGGAGTGAATGCTAGATAAGATGCACAAGGGACATCACAGGGACAAGATGGCTTTGGAGCAAAGACCAGAAGGCAGGAAAGGAGGGGGAGCCACAGGGGTCTGGGGATGGAGAGACTCCAGGTCCCCGAGGGAGGAGCAGACCTGAGACACTCCAGGAAGGGCAGGTGGAACCCAGGGCGGCTGGAGCCGTGGGCACCAAAGGAGAGGAGACAAGCCAAATGTTCACTGTGACAGGCAAAGAATAGACTCCGTGGGGTCCCCAGGTCATGGGAAAGATCTGCATTCACCTGACAGGGAGGGGACTCCAGAGTCTCAGGAGGGAGGTGACCTGTCTCGCAGTCGTTCACATCTCTCTGGCTGATGTGTGCAGAGACTCCACAGCCAGGCAGGGAGGGGAGAAGGCGGACCGTGAAGGGGACTCTCAGTGGTCCAGGCTGTGGCTGATGGCTGCCGGAACCAGGGTGGTGGCGGGGGACCTGGTGGGAAGCATCCGATCCCCGTCTATTCTGAAGGCAGATCCTACAAGATTTGCTCACAGGTTGAACATGGAGCAGAAGAGAGAGGGATAACAACTGGACAGTGGAACTGCTAAGACTGAGACCAGGAAAAATGGGAGCATCACTCTCAGAAAATGCTAGACTAACCACAAGGCTGGCCCTGGGCTGGGGAGGGTCTCCTGCCCAGCCCGGGCCCCTGACCGGGCCACGGGCTGGGATTTGCTGGAAGTGGCGGCTTAGAGGCGTAAGCTCCTCACACAGGGTGAACAATCACAGATAAAAACTACTTTCAAATATGATCAGGCTCCATCGGGGACCACAGGGAACAGAAGGAGCAGCTCAGGAAGAGCTTAAGGACCAGAGGAGAAAGTACTCCACGGGCACCCTCGCCCCCTCCCCCTGTCCCCAGGCCACCACCTCCCCCTCCCCTAAGCTTGGTGCTGCAGGTTCTGCGGGTTGTTATTTTCCTCTGGGAACAAGACAATGCTACCCACGGTGACACTTCAGCTCCGTAATCCAGGCTGCCTGTCACCAACACACACAGGAACCCCAGAGAGTTTTTGTTTGTCTTGTTTTTTTTTTTTTTTTCTGACTGACATCATTAACGCAGGTCTTTACTGATGGATGTGTCCTCTGCCTAGACCCCCGCCATATTCTAGCCCCACAACAAGAGCGAAAACCCAAGGGAAAATTATGCACCAGCCGCTTTCCATGCTTTACCCATAGCAGCTTAGGAAAGTCGGCCACAGAGAAGGTAAAGAACTGCCCGATGTCACACAGCTCAGAAGTAGCCAAGCTGGGATTCGAACCCACGCCTCTTGGCTCCAGGATGCATCACCCTAACCACTAAGCAGCACCATCTCTCCATGACGGTGGTCAGCGAGGGTTTCTATGTTACCTACGTGCCAGGTCCTGGGCGAAGCCACATCTGCGCCTTGACACATTCAGTTCTGTCAGAAAGCTGAGGAGGTGGCTGTATCTCTTCTCCCCATTCTACAGAGGAGGACACTGAGGCTCCTGAGTGACCACTGCAAGCCAAAATGAGTTTTAAGTAGATAAAAAAAATGAATATTAAAAGAAAATAAGGGTTCTGAGTTCTCAAATTCTTTCTCAGGTGGCTTCAGGGTACCCAGGCTCCTGGTTCCCCAGCTAAGCCGCTGCCCCTTCTCTGCTCCCTCCCTTCTCAATCTCAGGCCTCTTTCCCTGTCTGAGGGGTCTTATCCCCTTGTGATTTAATTCCCTCTAGGCCACTGACTCTCCAGGCCTCCAGTCTGGCACCGCCTCCGCTGCCTACTCCGCTTCACAGAGCTGCCTGCCCGACGGGCACGGCCACCGAGAACAGTCTGCGACGGCCTCATCCAGGAACTCCGTCACCGTCCATCCTTCTCCTGTGAGGTCACAAGCTCTAGGAAGCAGGGACCTCGACAGGCTGCATGACATCACATGACAGCCCCGTAGCCCTGCACCCGGGGTAACCGGTAAGTCCCGGATTGAGTGATGTATGTGTGACCCCCCCAGAATCTTTACCATCCAGCCAGGGAGAGAAATCTGCTTGTGGGTGGCGGAAGCAGCCTTGCTGATCTCCCCCGAATCGCAGCACGACTCATGCGACTTTGTTCCTGAAATGAAAGATAATCCTAATAAGTAAGCCCATCTCAAAATTTCTAGATAGAAGCTCAGGTCGATGGATGACATAATCTGACAGATGAGAACCGTGCGTGACATCCCCGGGTCAGGAAGGATTAGGAAATAAAGAACCATGCGGGCAGATGACATCCAGGCACGTTGCTATCGGAAACATCTCTGCGTGCCCCTGCCTTGCTCCCGGGGCAGCTGAGTTTCACGGGATGTGGGGGGTTATAACCACAATTCTGCTGATTTTTTTAGTGTGGGAGGGTACCGAGGGATTGATCCCAGGGGCATTTAACCACTGAGCCCCATCCCCAGCCCTATTTTGTATTTTATTTAGAGACAGGGTCTCACTGAGTTGCTTAGCGCCTGGCTTTGGCTGAGGCTGGCTTTGAACTGGCGATCCCCCTGCCTCAGCCTCCCAAGCCACTGGGATGACGGGCGTGCGCCACCGTGCCCAGCTTCTGCTGCTGATTTTAAGGTCATCCTGCCAGTAAGTGGAGACTGCCCAGGAACAGGCCATGGGGTGGGTTTACTTTTCTTCTGGCCCTTGCCTTGGGCCCAGGGTAACCTTGGATGGCTCCCAATTTCAGTTCTTTTCCAATTTCGTTCCCCCTTCCTCCTTCTTTATGAATGCAAACTTTTGAAGAAGATATTGCTTTGGGGAAGTTAATAACAGCTGTAAAGATCTCTATTAACCATCCTTTATCGGTGAGATAAAGACCAGCTGTTTCACTAATTGCCCTTAACTGCTTGGGCTTGATTATTAATGAATGCCCTTGCCTTGGGTTCAAACAGCTTAATTAGCTAAAGTTAAGTGTTCCCAATAAATTTACCAACCTATGATAAGCTTTTCTTTAATAGGAGACTCGCAGTCCTTAATTAAATAGAATAATTTACAACTCCGCGTCTATTATAAGTAATGGTCGCCCAGTTACCCTGTTACCTAATTAGGTGATATTGAAATTCCTCCGAAGGGTACGGAGGGGAGCGTGGAACACGCACTTGAACAAACCAATCTGTGAGCAGCCGTCGGTGGTGGGGCTGTGGACACCACAGGGCAGAGGTGTCTGGGTTGGAATCTCCTCTCTGCCATTCAGAAGGAGCCTGTTGTCCCATCTGGAAGTCGGAGACCTAATGCCCCGAAGAGCCTCTAGGGAGTAGACTGGGGAGCAGTCGCAATCAAATAATAAAGAAAAGTCAATGTCCTCTTTGAACACCTCTCGGGTCACATCTTTTTTTCTTTCAGGAATATTTTAGAGGGGAGGGGACTGGGAATGGAACTCAGGGGTGCCCTACCATAGAGCCACATCCCCAGCCTTTGTTTTTTTTTTTTATTTTGAGACAGGATCTCACTAAGCGGCTGAGGGTCTCACTAAGTTGCTGAGGCTGGCCTTGAACTTTTGATCCTCCTGCCTCAGCCTCCTGAGCTGCTGGGATGACAGGTGTGAGCCAGCATGCCCAGCTTTTTTCAGAAACGTGACTTTTTGTTGACATCAAACAATCTGTCGTACGTATTCACGGGGTACCGTGGGAGAATTCAATTCACGTATAGAATGGGTAATGATCAAATCAGTATTTTCCATCTTCTTAAATCGTTATCGTTGCTTTGTGTTGGGAAACGTGGAACTCCTCACTTCCAATTCCTTGTAAAATCTCTAGCAAGTCGGTGTGAACTGCCGTCACTGTTGACGGTCACACATCTTTAGAGGATCACGTCATCCTAAGTGGAGATAAGTGTGCTGCTCCCTTGTGATCCTGGGGAAGGCAACTGCCAGACCCGGATTGGGGACTTTCCTCAGGACAGGGCTCCTGAGACTGTCTGGGTCACGGGAAAAGCAGGGTGCCCGACTGTCACAGACCAGAGATGACTGAGGATTCACGACAACTTAATGCAGTGCCGTCCCCTGACCTGGATCACGGACCAGAAAGAGCGAAGGGGTGCACATCTGTAATCCCAGCGACTCCAGAGGTTGAGGCAGGAGGGCTGCAAGTTCAAGGTCATCCTGGGCAACTTAGGCTCTGTCTCTAGATAAACAATACAAGGGGTTGGGGGGCTGGAGCTGTGGCTCAGCAGTAGAGCACCCACCTAGCACAGGCGAGGCCCTGGGTTTGATCCTCATAAATAAAATAAAGGTATTGTGTCCAACCACAACTAAATGATAAATACTTTTTAAGTAAATAAATAAAAAGGGGGTGCTGGGGTGTAGCTGCCAGGTAGAGCACCCCCTGAGTTCAACCTCCAATAGCTGAGGATAGACTGGCGATTAGCAGAGGTCAGGAAGGATGGGAAGGAAGGAAGAGGGGAGGAAGGGGGATCTTGGGGTGCCAGCTATAGCCAGACAGGACTGGGGCGTTGTGGTGTTCTACAACAACGTGCTGTCTATTTCAAAAATGCTAAGAGATCCCAGCGGCTCAGGAGGCTGAGGCAAGAGGATCTCGAGTTCAAAGCCAGCCTCAGCAAAAGCGAGGCACTCAGCAACTCAGTGAGACCCTGTCTCTAAATAAAACGCAAAATAGGTCTGGGGCTGGGGCTCCGTGGTGGAGTGCCCCTGGGTTCAATCCTTAGCACCAAAAAAAGAAAAAAAAATGCTAGGAAAAAGAGTTTTGAACACTTTCACCTTAAATGACTGACATTTGAGGAGACGTTTGCAAGTGTCACCGGGGTATGCACATGGAGATGTCACGTGGTCCCCATTACGTATGGATCATTTTTATGTCGACCAAGTTTAAAATTTAATTCACTGATTCATTTTAAAAGAAGACCACATGAAGGCACGGAGAGGATTCCACGGGACCACAGAGACAGAGACCAGAGTGACGCAGCCGTGCACCAAGGATGGCGGGAGCCACCAGAAGTCAAGCAGAGGGAAGGAGGACGCACCCACTCGGCCCTCAAGGGAGCCTAGCCCCGCTAGTCACGCCCTGATTCCAGGCCTGTGACCTCTGGAGCTGTGGAGCACGAGGGTTCCACTGTTTTTCACCACCCGACTTGTAAGTAGTAATTCCTGACCGCAGCCCTGGGGCACGGGCCTGGGGTCCTCGCCCCCTGTGGCCTGGCAACTTCTATCCGTCATGATCAAAAGAATCCAAGTGCACGGGGGACCCTGAGGGAGCGCACAGCCCCCATGGGACAGACCCTGTTTTCAAGAGGGCATGAGTGAAGTTCCAAAGACAGGAGCTACAAGGCCACCGGGACCAGCGGTCACCCTCTGAATTTCATCACAGCTAAAACTGGGCGTGGAATCCAGGCAGAGTGCCCTCGATCGCTCGTCGGGAAGAATCTCAGCTATTGATTCGGTTGGTTATTATCGTCCCACCAACGAGACCTCGTTAGACCTAGACCAGTCAAACTATCTGCTCAAAAAATCACACATCCCCGGAAATCCTGCCAGCGCCTATTTTGGCAGAGCCTCGGACCTTGTTATGGTTTAGATGTGAGGTGACCCCAAGAGCTCATGCGTGGGACAGGGCAGGAGAGTTGAGGGGTGAAGGGGTTGGGTTATGAGAGCCTTCATCCGATCAGTGGATTAGAGTAAGTGGATCCGTTTGAATGGATGACGTGGGCGGGACTGGAGGCAGGTGGGGTGTGGCTGGAGCGGCTCAGTTATGGGGCTGTGCCTTTGGGGTGGATATTTTGTCCCTGGTAAGTGCAGTTCGTTCTCTCTCTCTCTCTCTCTCTCTCTCTCTCTCTCTCTCTCCTGTCGTGAACTAAGCAGATTTCTTCCACCACGATGCTCAGCCTCACCTCAAGCCCAGAACAATGCATTGGGCCGCCTGTGGACTGAGACCTCAGAAACCACGAGCCCCAAGTGGACTGTCCCCCCTTCAGTGGAAAAGCCGATAAACGCCAGCATTTTCAGGAAAGCCTTCTCATCGTCTCATGAAATCCTCCCCCAAACCCTAGACAGAAATACAAGAGGGATTTGGAGCTCGTGTCTACGGTGAAGAAACGGAAGTGGGATGATTTTTCATTTCCTTCTGGGTTGCTCCCATCCCCGTCCTCTCTCCCGCCACTCACACCACCCGTTCCCCCCCTCTCCGGCCATCCCCGTGACAACCCACGATTCATTCTTCCCTTCTGTCTCTGGACCCCTAGAATCACATGCCAATGTATGCATTTACAGATTCTATACCCGACACGGGCCTTGATCGTTGTCCACGCACCTTCCTGGCTCCCGTCTCCTCGTTGTGCAGAAATCCCTCCCAGGCACCTGCAACGGCTCTGATTCATCGCTTTTTAATGGCTGCGGACGATTCCGTGGTGTGGACGTCCTGCAATTTATTCAGTCATTAACGAGCAGCCACTCATTGGCCCCCTTTGGCTGCTACAAACCATTCTGCAGTCAACATCCTAGCGACAAACGTCCTTGCATACACACTGTGGTTTTAATTTCTAGGAGACGGAGCCCCAGGCGTGGGATCACCGGGTCAAAGAGCGTGTGCATTACTTTTTTAAAAAACTCTGCTTAAAAGAAAAAAGCAGGAGAACAGGATTGTGTGATTGCCTCTCCAAGAGCAGAGGAGGAAGAGCAGACTCAGGAGGGACTTGCAGGTGACCACAAAGGTCTCCACCGGTTCATTTTGTCATCACTCTTTGTAATTTACATGTATGTTTTCATCTTTATCATTCGGCAGGTATCCAATATGGCACAATCCTTTTTAAGTAACCTGCATATTTTAATTTCAATTAACGTGGCCAGAACGACGGCAATGATTCTCATCCTCGCCAACAATACAGCAGGGTAACACTCTGTCGGCTTCTCCAAGTAAGAGGTGTGATTAGTGTTTTCCATTTTGTTCCCAGCCCGAGAGCTATGTCTCACTGTTACTTTAATTTACATTTCTCTAACGCTGGAGAATCTTTGCATCTTTTATATATTCATTTGAATGGATATAGATGGAATTTTAAATGATCTACAAACTCCTTTTCGGGGGGGGGGGGAAGGGGGTACTAGAGAAAAAAATCTCAGGGATGCTTTAATCACTGAACTACACTCCCAGCCCTTTCTATTTTTTTAATCTTGAGACAGGGTCCCACTAAGTTGCCGAGGCTGGCCTCAAACTCGTGATCCTCCAGCCTCAGCCTCCTGAGTTGCAGGAATTACAGGTGTGCACCACGCACCTGGCTCCAGACTCTTTCTTAAAAGAAGGAAACAAGAGGAGACTGATACTCAGCCCTTTTCATCCCTCTCTGAAAGATAAAGCTCAGGGTTTTTTAAAATGCTACAAATAGCAAAAAGGAAATTCATCCACACGAGTTGGTTCTATCTATTTAATCTAAAGTTCAAGACGCCATGATGACATGAGCTACCCTCAGGGAAATCCCCAAATGGGACCCAGAGGTGTCCTTCTTGTGGGAATTCACGAGACCAACAGAACATGGACCCTGCCCCACGGTGAGCCTGTCCTTTTCTGGGTGAAGGGAGCTGCCTGGCCTGGTAGGAAATCGGGAACCTGCTCTGGGCAGCCGGGCAGGCCACCTCCCACCCCTCCCCCATGTCAGCATGGACTTAAGCTCGGGCTGGAGCATCAGCAAAACTGGACCCGATCTCTGCTCACCACAGACAGGTCTCCAGGAAAATATCTAGAGAGCGGATCTCTTTTTAACAGCTACGTGACATGGCATAGTGGAGATGGAACAAATTTTATCCAGGTATTTGCTATTGATGGACATTTGAGCTACTTCCAGCTGGTTTTGTATCATTACAAAGACTGTTGCAATAATTTTTTTGCACTTATAATTTTTTTTTTTTTGGCAGTGCCAGGGATTGAACCCAGGGCCTTGTGCATGTGAGGCACGCACTCTACCAACTGAGCTATATCCCCAGCCCCTGCACTTATAATTTTTTGCACTTATAATTCTAGGGTAGATTTGTATCCACTCAGACTACACAGACTTGATCTTCTCGTCATATCCTCTTGCATAGCAGATGTTACTGACTGGTTTTGCCTTTCGGTTGGTTGGGTTGGGTTCGGTCTGGTTGCTTTTTGTGTGTGTTTGGGGATTTTTTTTTTTTTTTTTTTTGAGAAAACCCAAGGGTTTAAGAATAAAACAAATGTCTTTTAGCGTTGGCTTCTCTAGCTACCTTCCACAACCTCTCCTAATTTTGTAGCTAAATTTTAATTTCATGGTTTTTCATTCCTCTGGTCAATTAATTTATTTGAGTTTTTTTTTTTTCTCCTGGAATTTGGCTATGATTACAACATCGGAATTTAATTTCTATAATTTCCAATTCCCTTTGAAGAATTAATTTCTTGTTGTTATTTATAGGCCAGAAGCTGAATCCGGTACACACCACCGCCTGGGATTAACATGCAGCGTTAGAGGAGAATTGTGACATATTATACATAAGTTTAATTAATAAAATGTGAATTCCATGAAGAAAGTGGAAAAGCATCTCTGGGACCCAGAGATGGGAGATCTCACCTCTAGCCGAGAGCTGGAAAGCCAGTTTGAAGAACTTGGTTTTGAGTGAAGCTTGAAGGCCCTGGTCCAATTTTGACATATGGAAATGGAGGGAGAGAGGACAAGGAGCAACAGTGTATCTTTCTATGACAATGTGATTTCTAATAAGAAATATTGTATCTTAGTCTTTGTCCCCAGTTCCTATCCGGGAGCTCCTAAGACCCTTGTGCAATAGTAGTGCAGGGAGAATCTTTTGTTCAAATATTGGCTCTTGGAGCCTGGCTCCTAACGCCTTGACTTTCAGGGTGGTTGACGCCCCTTTGGTTCTAGGGAGGTGACTCTTGGTGCACCCCTGTCTGGGGGGCCAGTCCTCAGAAAGACCAAACCATGATCAGAAACTTGGACCATTCAAACGTACCCCCACCCTGCAGGTAGGGAGAGGGTCCACAGGTTGAATTAATCATCAATCCGACATGATGGACCCTCCGTATAAATCCCTGAACTATGGGATCAATGGGGCTTCTGGGGACTGAACCTGTGGTAGGCAGCTCGCACAGGGACCAAGAAGTTCCACGCCCCTTCCCCACACCCTGCCCCGGGCACGTCTTCATTGGGGATCTGGCCATATCCTTTGTAATTAACAGGTAAATGTCGAGTACAGCCCTCTCCCGAGTTCTGGGGCCACTCTAGCAAGTGATTGGTTGAACCAAGGAAGGGGTCTTGGGAACCCTCACTGCATAGCCAGTGAGTCAGAAGTCCCAAAGGCCCGGACTTGTAACTGGCATCTGAATTGGGCTCTTCTTGTGGAACTAGGTCCTTCATTTGTGGGGTCTGACCCTCACTCCAGGTGGTGTGAGGCCAGAACTGAACTGCATTATAGGCTACCCAGTTGGAGTCTGGCAGAAAATGGATTGCTGTGGGGGGGAAATGCCACACATCCCGTCACAGGTGTGTTGTGTTTGTGTTGTAGGGGGGGAAAGTGGTCCTTTTGTTTAGGGTTTTTCCCCCTCTATTACACATTTTCCTTCTCAAATCCCTGGCGAGCAATAAAACAAGTAACCCAGCACTTCAAACCTTCACCCATCATGGATGCCTGCTGTTGAGATGCTGCCGGATGGTACATCAGTGTAATGAACACGTAAGGATGGCGTTACAAATGCCTTCATCGTAGGTATCAGTCAACTCATGGAAGCTAAAAAATACAGCGAGTCGTTTTCTGGATCTTACTATGTGACAGCACTATATAAAGCCAACTTCATGGCCATCTCAAGAGTATCTCAGAAAAAGCTAGAACAGGTCCCAATGAGCTTCATTCACTCAACGACTAATGGATAGTTGGGGTCCAAGAAATAACAAGATGGGAAAGGCAGCAGAGCCCACCCCCAACCTGGAGTTTGCAGGCTAATGGGGAACATGGGAAAGTTTGTGGAGCAATAAAAGTAAAGGTTGTGACCCACGCCCCAGGCTTCCTCAGTACCACTCTCCAGGACCTTGGAGAGCGGGCAGTGTCCAGGGCCAGGGCCAGGGACAAGATCACCTGGATCCTCTGGTATGGTAAAAGGTGAACAAGTGCTTAGGATGCAGGGGCGTGTCAAAGGGGGACGCAGGAGCGGATCTGGGAGAGCTTCAGTGGACAAATAAATAATGTGGTGAGCCGGGTGCGGTGGTTCACGTCCATAATCCTAGCAGCTCGGGAGGCCAAAGCAGGAGGCTCACGAGTTCAAAGGCAACCTCAGCAACGGCGAGGCCCTAAGCAACTCAGTGAGACCCTGTCTCTAAGTAAAATACACAATAGGGCTGGGGACGTGGCTCAGTGGTAGAGCGCCCCTGAGTTCAATCCCTGGTCCCAATAATAATAATAATGTAGTATTGGCTTATGCCTGAAAGTATAGAATAAATGATTGAATAAATATACAAATATATGGGAGAAGGACAAATATTCCTCCCAGATGAATTCTGAATAATATCTGTGCACCCCTCCACTGCCAGTCCTGCTCCCTTTCAGCCTGGGCTGGACTGAGCAGCTGGCCTCTCACGGGTGTGGAGGACAGCTGGCATGGACAGGGAGGACAATCTCCTTACAGCGGGGAGGCCTGGCCGCACTGCGTTGCCTCTGACCCGAGGCCAGCCCAGCTGTGATACGCACGCCCCTCGGTGCCACTCCTCCCAGAAGTCCGTCAGCCCTGCCGAAGTCCCGAGAGGAACACTTCCTCCAGACCCCCCAACCGGGGGACATTCCACAAGGCACCTGAGCCGTCCTCCTAGAGATTGTCAAAGTCCCAGAAACAAGGAAAGACGGAGCTACTGTCACAGACCAGAGGGGACCAAGAAGACTCGAGGACTAAATGCACTTGTTTTCCTGGTGGGATCCTGGCACAGACAATCTGTGAAAAAAACCTAGGAACTCCTATGAAAGCCTGGAGTTGGATTTTAAGAACATAGAGGGGCCGGGGTGCAGCTCGGTGGTAGAGGGCCTGCGAGGCCCTGGGTTCCACCAGCAACCCGAAAAGAAATGTTTAATAAAAACAAATAGAAATAAAGTTGGAGAAGCACTGTCGTAAGAGTTACAAGATTCAACAGGAGCACACACAAGAAGCAACGGATGTAAACATGAAGATTGCAAAGTGGAATAAACATCTGGGCATCATCTTTTTAATCACAAACCCTGAGGAGTCTGCATCTGGAACCAGAGCACCATTGTCAAGATTCACTGACTCCTGGTTTTTTTTATCATCGTTATTATTATTATTATTATTATTATTTTCTCTTTATTATGTTTTTAATCAAAAAATGTCCAGGCACAGTGGCGCACACCTGTCATCCCAGGGGCTCAGGAGACTGAGGCAGGAGGATCAAGAGTCCAAAGCCAGCCTCAGCAACAGCAAGGTGCAAAGCAGCTCAGTGAGACCCTGTCTCTAAATAAAATACAAAATAGGGCTGGGGATGGGGCTCAGTGGTTTAGTGGCCCTGAGTTTAATCCCCAGTACCGCAAAAAATTTAATCAAAAAAGACCTTTGTTCTATATTAGCTGA